TATATATATATATATTATTTTTACCTACCTTCACAATAGCCTCCGTCATCTTTTGATTGCCACCATATAACCGATTAATGAAATGTAAGTCCTTGAAATACCACAATGTACTGATATTAGTATTTTCCAATGCCATACGATTACACTCTCTTTTATATACAGTGCGTAAATTGTCCCACTTGCGAGTAACTGCATCTTTAGCCAATGACAAATTAAAACGTCGTTTGAATTCCATTACAATCCACTCAAGAAAGTGCTGACGTTTGGCCCGATCACGAAATTGTGGATGACGGTGGTCCCACAAGAAAGTATTGCGCCTATATGAATCGATAAGGAATTGTATCATTTTACGATCCTTTATATGCATTGCTAGACCAGAGTCCTAAATAAAAAAAAAATATATATATTGTTTTATTAAATTAACATTAATGTAATATTTATGGCAATGTCTACAAACACACGCGCCACGGTAAAATTAAGTGGATTATGTGTTGACGGAGAAGTGGGGCAGAACTTCTTTATGCGTAGGAGGCCTTCGGCCGCGCTTAGGGATATAACCCTTATTACTCAGAATTCTCCTTTCTGTGGNTTATTAAATTAACATTAATGTAATATTTATGGCAATGTCTACAAACACACGCGCCACGGTAAAATTAAGTGGATTATGTGTTGACGGAGAAGTGGGGCAGAACTTCTTTATGCGTAGGCGGCCTTCGGCCGCGCTTAGGGATATAACCCTTATTACTCAGAATTCTCCTTTCTGTGGTGCCGGAGAAGTGGGACAGAACTTCTTCTACGTAGGTGTCCTTCGGCCGCGCTTAGGGATTATAATCCTTACTACTCAGAATTCTCCTTTCTGTGTTGCCGGAGGAGTGGGACAGAACTTCTTTCTGCGTAGGCGGTCTTCGGCCGCGCTAGGGATTATAACCCTTAATACTCACCATTCTCCTTTCTGTGGTGCCGGAGAAGTGGGACAGAACTCATTTCTGCGTAGGCGGCCTTCGGCCGCGCTTAGGGATTATAACCCTTACTACTCAGAATTCTCCTTTCTGTGTTGCTGGAGAAGTTGGACAGAACTTCTTTCGGCGTAATTTTTACCGTGGATCTACGGTAATTTTTAACGTGCATCCACGATAAAAGTTACCGTGGCGCGTGTAAGTAGACACTNGAGAAGTTGGACAGAACTTCTTTCGGCGTAATTTTTACCGTGGATCTACGATAATTTTTAACGTGCATCCACGATAAAAGTTACCGTGGCGCGTGTAAGTAGACACACCCTATATATATATACCGCTCCGTTATTTCCTCCCAATAAAGATTGTTCAACTAAATCATCATAATTATTTTCATCTTCCTCATCTCTTGGATAAATAGGATCTTCCTCATCATCATTGTTGGTATAATCGTCATAATTTCCGTAATCATTGGTATAGTTGTCTCCGCCTCCTTCCATTACAACCTCAGGCTCAGTACGTTCTTGCTTTACTGGATAAATGGAATTATCCGCTATGCCTCTTTCACTAGGAAACCCAGGAGTTATTGAATTATCTGCTTGTGGTAGTTCATGTTGCTCCTGGAAGAAATTTAATTGTTATAAAGGTAAGCTATAGCTAGAGATAATATGTGTTTACTTCATCAACTTCTTCCTTGATCATAACTGTTTGTGGTACCAAAAGTGAGGGGTCCGTATCGGTAAGATCTTCAGTACCTTCACCACTTCGGCCGCTATTTGTTTCACCATAAGAATCATCATATCCGAGTCTAAAAAGGGTGTATTTATTGCTGATAAAACAGTTTTGCTACGTTATG